GTTGAAAGATAAAAATTCATTCGCACACAAGTTTTCCCGTTAAAGATATAGATCGTGGCCCAACCAGTATAATGGTTTATGACTCTGACTGCTGTACGGATGGGCCCGACGCGAAGACTTGTAAGCGTATAGTATCTGTGCGGCAACGGTGCACTCAAAGTATCATTGTAACTTGTTTGCCTTCTAATTTAAAGTTATATCACTTGTTTTAATTTGAAATTCTTGTTTGTTCTCAATAATGGTTTTTAAGTGCTAAAGATTTTATAGATTTGAGTTGTAATTTACTCCAATTGATAATTCAAAATATTTAATTTTAAAGACTTTCGACGAGAAAACTTGTCATATTTAATTTTTTAAAAGAAACTTAATTCGTATTTTAGTTTGTTTAGTTTTACTCATTTAATTTTTCTTTTTACTTTTTACTTTTTTTAAACTTTTTGAGTAGTTTTGATTAAAGGGATTATTATGCTCATGATTTATTTAATTTTTATTCTTTTGTTTACAGTAAGTGGGTTTCCTCTTATTTATTTTGTTAATTTTAAAGTTGACCCCTCCTTTCGTTCAAAGTTCCAAGTCTTTGGTCTCTAACTAATCATAATACAACAGCAACTTGTAACCATAAAAAAAATTATGTAAATTGTTAAAGAATAAGATCTTTGAAAAAAGAAAAAAAGTATTATACTAGAAAGTTGTATCTGAAATCTAATATTTTGCATTTGAACCTTCCCTCAAAACTATTTCTTTATCTATTTTCGTATTGTTTGGCTTGATAGTATGAAAACACTCCTACCTTAATGATATTAGGAGGATAGTACCATAATTTGACCGTTGAAGAAGGTGCTTATTAAGAGGCTAAAAACATGGATGTTTTAACCATCTGGACCATTGAAAAAAGGGTTTGCGTGACTTGCCGAGCATTCGCTGCATATTGACCTTTTTCAAGGACTTACCGTGTTAAAAAAAAAAAAAAAGAAATGATCTTCGCCGAGGTTGTAACACCTTTTTTGGAAGTTCTTGCTCAGATCCCATTTTTTGCACTGGAGAGTACCGCGAAATTTTGGAGTTTGCTAGAAACGGAAGTGAGTGGATTCTTCGCCAGACAGGGAAATAAATATTCGAAGAGCCACCGGAGGAAGATGTGTAGTTTTTATGGTTCTGTGTTCTGAGATGTACAACAGGAGGATAGATCCAGGAAGCCACTGGATGGCATCTCCAAAAGAAAACGAGTCTCCAGTTCCTTACTAATAATCACCAGAACATTATTTTTATCTTTCAGATTTTATGTTTTCAAGTTCCAGTTTCGTGCTTACCCTAATGTAGATATTGACCGCAGCTTATGAGTCACCTTTGGGACAGGATCAGATTTTCCAAGTAAAAGATTCATGAATTTGCAATTAGAAATGATTATTCTCAACCTTATGATAATCGGTTCAAGTTTCATTTTTGGAATTTGAGTAAAAGTGTTGGAAAAAAAAATGTTCTATAAATTTGCAACAGGATGAGTATTTTTCAAAACCTGCTTATGAAATTTATGTAAAATTGTGAAACTCATGGAGAATTTGATTTGATCAATGAGTAATTGAAATTTTATTTGTATAACCGGCGATAACAGTATTTACGGATTTTATATATTTAATTAGAAATAATAGATTTGATCTGTTTTAAGTAGCACTGCAAGGATTGTTACTGAAATTATGTGCAGAACTTAAATATAAACATGAAGGCTTAATTGGGCTAGACACCTACCAATATAACTTTGCGGGTATGTTCAATTATTGTAAACCATTTTTTTCTTTTGGAAGTTTCATCATACCTATTATGTTTTCACTAGACTACTAATTAGGTTACCACAAATGTTTCATGACGCATTAGTTTTAATAATTTTTATTTGATTTAAACACCTTGTTTTAACTTTTGCTTTAACTTTTAAATATTTGAGTTTGCTCATCTGCTTTCTTTATGCTTGAGTTTATTTATTATTTCTGTATGTTTTACACTTAAATACGACTAATACACAGTAAGCCAAAAGTCCTCTCGAAAGGTTGCTCGTAAGAGGAAAGGGGCCCTTGGATCTGGGGTGTTTCCCTCAAAATTGGGAAGGAAGCTTAACTGTTAACAATGCCAGGCGATACCTCGTAACATCATATTTGAACATGGTTACATGGATTTAATTGGGTTATTACAACGATTCAAGGGTTGCGCTTAGTGTTTATCTTTAGATGACAAATTGACTGTTAAGGCAAAAAAATTCAGCGCTTTGGCATTTCGCGCTTCGTCCAGGCTAAAAAAACAGGTGATTTGAATTACACTTGTTCCGATCACTTACACAGCAATTCGATATTAAACACATCTGTATGACTACCTCTCGTCCTGGTTCTAATCGTTTAATTCAGAATGTTTTACTAAGCTCTTAAAGCATCACTAGAAGCCCGCCTGAGTAAAAAAGAAAAAACTGTTTTGACTTAATGGTTGAATCTGTCAATGAGAGATAAACAGTAAGTGTAGCCTGTAGTCGAGGACAGACAGTGGTGTTAAATCAAGGTAATCGTCTTGGTTTGAGATCAGCGTTCAGAGCAGAGTTACTGTCCCGATTTGTTAAGTGTGTATTTCACGTATATAAGCAAATGACTTCATAATTTACTGTCTAACATTTAACTAAATACTATTTTATTTATCAAATTAAGAATAGTACGGAAAATTGACAGTTTTATGGTTACTGATTTAGACCCTTTAATACTCACAATCTCAAAAGCTCCGAGCTCAAAATAAGTTTTCTTGCTTGCATTTATAACAAACCTATGAAATGCTAGTATTTTTTCTTCATAATCTGCTGACATTTTCTGTGCAATAGTTGTTTTTGTGAGCATTCATAAGCCTTGCCTTTTCATGAACCTGTAGCACAGCCCTCAGACCCTGAAAAGTTCTGATTCCCATGTTTTTCTGCAAATCCTTTGGCCTCACTGATTATGATTTTAGTTGAAACACTTATCCCAGATTTCCTCTTATATATCACCCACATTTTTACGCCATTTTCAAGTTCAGGCCAAGATGGAGATGGCACCGAAGGTTATGTTTTTGTTTTTTAGAAGTCTTCAGTTGATCTTCCTGCAGTCGCCAAGTACGTTTCATTTTTTCGGTAGGTGGTGAACCGAAATGCCTTGCTGCTGCTCTGTTTCCATGCACTTTGGCGTAGTTTAACACTCCTAGTTTATACTGAATTGTATAGTTTAATCTCTTGTTTCCTGTAGTCATATTTTCCAGGGTATATTTAAAAAAAAATAGTTTTAAGCACCGATACCGACACGTTTATACAGAGTAGTACCGATACCGACACGTGTGTCGGCTGAGTCAAAGAAAGTCTATGTAGAGAAGGAAAGGCTCCATAGACGTAATGTGACCATCGAACCTGTTCGAACTTCGACATCACCTTCGAGCTTTGGCGCTTTTTGGCGACAGATATTTCACGCATGCGCAAAATAATTATGGCAGATGTAGAAAAAGTTATGTGTGTCTAGACCTTTATCCGGGCTAAAAATAGCATTCAGTATTGAAAGTTAACCTGTGTACTTCACATATAAGACGCAGGTAACTTTTTGTGAAAGTTAACCTGTGTCCTTCACGTATAAGACGCAGGTAACTTTTTTGAGACCAAATTTAGGAAAAAAAAGTGCGTCTTATATGCCGTCAAATACGGTATGTATGCAAACGTTACCATTTTTTAAATGTAATTTCTAACGTGCTTGGGAGCAATGTAATTGCGTGGCTGCCTGGAAATATCCTTTTACTTAGCAACACTAAGCACATATAAAAGTTTGCTATGGCTGAAACATTTCAAAAACGATCCTTCCTTAGGACGTGCGATTAATGAATTCATTATTTTCCCTCGTTTTTCCGATTAATTCTATTCCTTTCAAATCTATTGCACTGATACACGTACTTAACGAGGGAAAATGCAGAAATACTTTCCCTTAATAAATAATAACTGGACTCTTGGAGGAAGTTCGAAGGGTCATGGATGTTACAAAAGTTTTCAGAGCTATAAAACCCATTTTGTTAAACTGAGGGAAAAGTTCAATTCTTCGAGGAAACAGCACTAAGAATTTTTAAACCATGTGATGAAAAAACATTAAGTAATTTTTTTAGAATGTAATGGTTCTATTTGTTTTCTTATATTTTGTTTTATGAAACGAAGGGGGGACTGAGAAATATTAAAGCAATTGTTTGATAAAAAACTTTTTATTCCCTTTTCTTTTTTCTTTTTATTTAGTTAGTTATTTCTTTTTCATTTTACATTTTTATGTTTGTGTTGTTTTGGACGCGCGTTTTGGAGAAAATCTGATTACTGTAATAGAAATCAAGAACAGAATACATTATTATTCTTTAAATTTCGTTAAAAGTAAATTTAGCGATTTTAGAATGCTTTCGAATCCGTGTTTCCAAATCTTCAATAATAAATAATTCGTAGGAGTTTTAATTTTCATCTTGGTAAAGAAAAACAAATCATGTTTTTTGTATTAAAACTTTGATTTTTTCAGAGTGAAAAAATAATCAACCACTGCTCTCAGTATAATATTTTATTCTCAGTCAGTGCTATCCTTCACTATCAAAGAAAAAAAAAAGAATTGTTCCTTCAAAAATCCAAAATTTCGTTATTTTAACTGGTTTAAAATATTTTCTTCGATCCATAGACGAGAGTTCTTTTTTACGTAAATATTATGTCAAACAATAATGTTTGCGTTTGAGAGTATTTTCCAACACTGTAGATGTAGTACAGCGTCGCTTTGTCGTATGTGGGATTCATTGGAGTAAAATTAAAATCATAATTTTGAATACTTAACACAAATTATGGGTAAGTAAACCTGAATTTCTGTTCATTTAATAATGTATGGTGACCCTTTATTTAAAATTTAAGGCATACACGTGTATTTAAAATATGTTTAAATCAATTTTTAAGAAGAATATCTAAAATTTAAAGGCACTAACCTTTCCCGCCATTTTGTATGAGTTATGGCTTGGTGGCTGTAGAGCTGCTGCGCACATTTGCATGAAAAACTAATCATCTTCTATAAGATGTTTGTGTAATAATAAAAATGCTTTTATTTGACAAGTTATTGAATGTAATACTCTTTCGTTGCCGCATAGTCGCTTCTAACGCTTTTTTTTAAAATGCTTTTGATAACCCTCAACGGTTCCCGCGTTTCTGGTGCATCGAGTTTATGGATTCTCCACAAAAGCTACATGCTGCTGTAATGGGTGGTGGAATTAGTCCCAAACTCATCGATTGACAATTCTTAATTTTTTTCCACTTTCATTTGCTCGTATTCCCTTGTGTTTATAAGGCAGACTGTGAAAATCTGACTGTTTGCAGGAGGATAGCACATGTTTTTCTTTGTTTTTAAAATTGTCATCATTAAGCCTTTTTGTTATATATATATATTTTTTTTTCTTTTTTAAGTGCTCAGAAGATACGCATTTTGATCGGTATCGATTATTTAAAGTAAGCTTTCAAAGGACTAATACAATGGCAGTTAAACCCTGTTTGAAAAGTATATGGTTATTATTAAAGTATTGATTGGAATTAAATGTGTTGCTAATCGAGTATTTGTATTTTTCGCTGTTCTTGAGTAAGAAACGATGTTCACAAATAAAGGTCAGTGAAATTTTTAGAATGTTCATTTTCATTTGAGTCATTTAGACCATTTTGACGTAAAAATCGGTTTGCATTAAAAGGTTTCTTGACGCGTATTTTTCATTATGCATTTAAAAGGATCTCCTTATCATTGATTATGTTTGTTTATTTTCTAATTGTATCGAGATAAGCTTACTTATGTCACGTAAATAACTAAATGTTAGGATATAAAATTGTCTGACAACACATTTTTATGTTTTCAGTGAAATTTCTGTTCATTATTTTTTTGTGTAAATAATAATTATTAAATGTAGGTTATTCTCTTTTGACTTACAAATGGTGTTTGTGGAATTAAAAGCTTACAATATTTAGATTTTTGCTAAACAGAACGGTACATTTAGTTTTTTTTTTTCTTTTTTTTGTGAAGCTACATTAATTTTTTTTGTCAGTGTAATGGATTATATTATCTCTCATGTATATTATTTTTATAATTAAATGCTGTATTATTGCAAAGTGAGTTGTATATATCTTTAAGTCTGTAATTAGTGTGAGAAATTGATGCAGTTAAATAAGGAAAAATGTAAATAAAAGCTTTATTGACTATGTAAATTAAATGATTCATTTGAAAATAATATGGTGTTTTTGTCATGTTAAAAAATACCCATGGATGTTGCATACAGGTGCACATAAATAGAAAAGCCATGGGTTCCATCATTGTCTAGTTTTTAACTTCTTTATTTATTCCACAGTTTTTTTTTGGCTGCTATATATATACTTATAAAATACATACTTATAAAATATTCCACATGTAGTGTTTTATACATGCCTTGCCTTTGTATTACCTGAACACTTTGCATGTACAGTAGCGGTCAACATAAAAATTTAGAAAATTGCAGGATGAGAAAATGGTTATGAAGTGAATATTTTCTTTTGAGGTTATTTTTTTAAAAGTACACGCGTATGGCAGCTTCTGTTATTCATAAAATTAAAAAGGTATGTATTTATTAGTTTTGATGTTAATAATACATGTAAGAGATGTAAAAACTTTAAAAAATGGAGAATTTATCTTTAAATACCAAATAGAAGATAACAAGCCTCGTTTGAAAATGATGTTGAAGGTGAAAACTGATCAGTTTTTTAAGTAGCTGTGCTTAATGCTTTAAAAAATGGGCCTTCATGAAAACCATTATAAACACTTTCATTTTTATTGAAAGGTACTGATAATTTTCTTGAAAATATATATCTGAAATAGCACACATTTAGTGTTGCTATTTAATTAGCTTAGTAAGATAGAAGCATCAGAAACGTTTATTAACTATGCTATTTGAGTTATGCACTGTTTGCTATCTTAAGATTTTAATCAGATAATGTTATGCCCCTGGGGGAAGGAGTCATATCTCAGTCCATCATACTCGCCTACCAACGACCTGGGGATAAAAGCCACTGAACACTGGTAGCATAATATCGCAAGCCAACCATCCTTGTTATATTCTTTTGCTTGATGATGTATGTGACCACTTATTTGGAGCTTGCCATCCTGTGTGCCTTCCTTCTCTTTAAGGGTTCGTTCACTCATAGGAAAATATGGTTAATCTTTGGATTATGGTAACTTGGCGATTTTTGGCGAAAATTTGGTAACCAACCCTTCTACAGCAACCTTCTACTTTTTTTTTTTTTCCGCCGATATTTTGTCTTCATGAAGTAAAGACGGTTTCTTTTTTTTTTATTATTATTTACTCAACATTTTTTCCAACAATCTGCTAGCCGAATTACACTTATGCTAGAAATTTTATGGAACAAAAGTGCTTAATCATGACGAATATTAACTGTAAATTGGGAGAAAGGGCAGAATCGCAGTGTGATTTGTTCGCAGTGTGAATCGCACTGTGATTTGTCCATATACGTCACATGACATATCTCATGATCTCTCATTTCTCTCAGACAAAATAATCCTTAATTGGAACTGGGTACTTCTCACATTATTGCCAAAGTCCTAGGTAGTAACCTTTATCACCTACCAAAATGTCGCCAAACTGCATGTTACCATATTCCAAAGATTAGCCGAAAATATTGAATGGATGATGTACGTGTCCAGCCAATAAAATATTTTAAAATCCCTCCGTGGAAGGATGTTCAGATTCAGCTTCTGCATGCCTTCCAGCATCTTGAAAAGCGTAACACTGATGAAATAATTCATAATCAAATTTTTCTTGTCAGCAGAGAAGAGTACAGCAATTATATTTCCATTTATACGGATGGGTTGAAAGCAGCAAATAACGTTGGAGCAGCCTTTATGATCGGAAACCACACAATTACATACATTTAGACATACATTTAGACAAGGCATGCTCTGTGCTTGCTTCAGAACTGATTGCTTTTTATTATGCACTTTCGTTTATATCCAGACAGTGCCAGAAAATATTTATTATTTATACTGACTCGTTCAGTGTACAGAAAGTTATAGAAGCCATTTTAGTTGCTCAGTATTCACTAATACATGAAATTCAGAATCTAAAGTTGAGAAGGCGGCTATCAGATTCTCTATTGCTGGGTCCCTGGACATAATGGGCATACAGGGAAATGAGCTGGCTGATATCACTGCAAAATGTGCTAAGGAATGCTTATATCAGCTTGTCTGCTACAGATATATTAGGAAAGTCATCAAGCGGAGAATTCTTAATAAATGACAACATAACCTTCATTCTCGGTCTTGACCCTTGCTTTCTTCACTATTTCGTCATCTGTCAAGAGTTCGAATCCAGGTTTATTGACGTCACACTCCAACCACTCGTTAATGTTTTCAGCATCGACATTTTCACCGAAACTGTTTTCACCATATCGGCAAGAGTTGCCGTGGGCGTGTCTACTTCTTCATTCTCTTCTTCACAACTCAAAGGGGTTAGGTTGTTGTTGGCTTCAACATTAGGCATCAGTTTTCTCCATGATTTTATGGAGTAATTAGCTTACTAATATAAGTTGAGAAGTGTGCAACCTCAATAAGAGTATTGGAAGACCACTAGAAACCTGAAGGAGGAAGTAATTTTAACCTGTCTTAGTCATTCTCGAATTATACACAATTACTTGTTAAAAGTCGAGAGTGAACCTATTTGTTCACGCTTGACTTTTCGATGACCTATTTGTGCATGTGTATATAAATTTATTTGCTGTAAACTCCTGGCTATCTAATATTCAATTAATTTTAAAAGTTGGGTAAGGGAATTTTAAAACCTTGAAAAATATAGCAAATGAGAGATTTAATTTTTGTAAAGAAAGATATAAGTGAATTGCTATGTACAGTACAGTTTGAAATCGGGATGTCCAAAATCTGCATACTCAGAGCGCTATGCCGCCCCAAAAAATTAGGAATGGAGAATACTGATTAAAACACATCCTTCCTCAATAGAAGGGCACAAGTGGGCCGTAAGTGACACCCGCTAGACTATAAATGACATTTCTGCATGTCGTATTCAAACCCTTGGCTGGGAAGGTGACATTATAGCCAGTGAAAATGCATTGATTGCGGTTGTATTGATGTTTGGGCCCATTAGTGGTTCTGGGGGTTGACATCTTTCTATCACTACTTAAAATAGTAATGGAAGCCCCAGTGTTGCCCTATCTACATGTCATCTTAGCAAATTTAAAATGATGACCTTAAATCCGAAAATATCCAGAATCTCCAAAGTTCCAATGATTCTGAGTCTTTGTACTGTATTTATTTTCACCTCACATTTTGAAAAATCTGACGAGATCAATGCGTAACCTTCTGCCAGTTACATTAACATGTAACTGGCAGAAGCTTAAGTAAGTCTTGGAAATGCAAAGAGCTTTAAGTAAAGTATTATTTCAAGTTGATACGGTACACTCCCGTTTATCCACGGAATTGGGTGGCACGGATAATCCGAAAAAAGCTAAAAACGGATATAGCAAAAGATAAAACAGTCATTCCAACTTTGAAAAGTCGTTTTATGTACAATAAAACAAACAAACAGCAGGAAATGTTTAACTAACGCTTATTATTTTAGTATATCAGTCAAAACTAACCTAAAATGTATTTTCTTAATGAAAACAGAAAAGTGCGTTGTATACTCGCGAGAGGCGTCAAGGTACACAGAAAAATTAATACATATGTACTTTTTTAATACTGTAATGTATTATGTAATTACAAAAGCATAACTGTAAATCTATACCTTTTTGAAGAAATCAGTCATTTGTGTTTGCTTCTTGCTTTGGAAGCATTTTCTCTTGATCCGCGATTGCATTTTTCGTAGCATAAGTTTCTTGGCCAACTCCGTGTCGTCTTGTTCTTCCAAATAGCTCAGTAATCTGTAGACTTGTTGCAAAGCCGCTTCATGAGTCTTCCGCGTCTGCACAGTGGGCTCTTCTTCGCTTTCACTTCGCTGTCCTTCATTCTCGGTCTCTCTCCTTGCTTTCTTCACAATTTTGTCATCTGTCAAGTGTTCGAACTCAGGTTCGTTGACGTCACACTCCAACCACTTGTTCATGTTTTCAGCATCGATGTTCTCAGGTCCCGGAACTGTTTTCACCATATCGGCTAGATTTGCCATGGGCGTATCTACGTCTTCATTCTCTTCTTTGCAACTCAAAGGGTTTAGGTTGTTGTTGCCTTCAACATTAGGCATCAGTTTTCTCCATGATTTTATGAGGGTTGACGGGTTTCACTGAGTCCCATGCAGATGCAATATCGTAGATGCTGTCCAAGATTGTGTAGTGTTTCCAAAACTCTTTCAGATCATAACCTTCTTCAATTTTGGTCATTAGCAGCTTGGTTCGGTATGTTCTCTTCATTGTTGCAATGACTCCTTGTCCATGGGTTGGGTTAGCGCAGTAATGTTTGGGGGGAGAAACTTTGCAAAAATTTGTCCATCAGAAGACTTTAGCACACTTGTTGCTGGGCGAGAAGGTGCGTTGTCGATCAATAGCACAGCTTTTTCAGGCAGGTTTTTCGATTTAAGATGTTTACGCACTTGAAGAACAAAGATTTTTTCGAACCATTCTTGAAA